TTGTGTGTTCTACAGAAAACAGTAACATATTGGTTTGGAACGAAAAGAGGGTGAGTCCATTTTTACTTAATATACTGTATATAACATGCTCAACATTCTATGTATGAGTTGTACTGATTGAACAAATATCACTACATTTTAACAAAAAAAATAAAATAATAATAATTAATTAATTAAGCCCAGTGATATTGTTGTATTATGCAAAATAATAAGGGCATTTTAAATGAAGTGGACCTGAACAGTTGACATCAACTTAAAATGGTAATTGTGACAGACAATTTGCATAAATTAACATATAAAACAGAAGAGTTTAAATCTTCATGCACAGATGAGGGAGATAGTGGAGTTTGTATTTTCTATAAATTATTTCATATAGTTTAAAGAAAATATAAATTATATTATAAATATTATATATGTATGTATAAATGTATAAATATGAATAATAAACTTCTAATTTTCTGCTTATTAATAGTTAGTAAGGTAGTTGTTAATTTTAGGAATAGGATTAAGGGATGTAAATATGGTCATGCAGAATAAGACATGAATATTTGCTTTATAAGTACTAATAAACAGCCAATATGCTAGTAATATAAATGCTAATAAGCAGCTAATTAACAGTGAGACTTGGTCCTTAAAATAAAGTGTTACCATATATATATAAAAATCTGTACAAACAGTGTTATAACACTGTCATCAGCATAAACACCAGTGTTTTAGACACAAATGCATTAGTAAGTAAATAATTTTAGGCCAAACAAAAAGGCTAAAAGCTCATTTTGAATGGACTGCAACTTCTAACAAGTTTAAGATGAACAGAACAGCTTTTTCCAATTTCTCTTTATCACACATCTGATGGTGCATCGATAAGAGGAACTGGAGAGCAGCTCGGTGTTGTGAAAGGCTGTGCAAAAGACCGGTCTAATCTCCATCATTAAACCTGCATAATATATCACAGCCAAACTCTCATAGACAGCTTTTACCCTGCTGCGCAGTTAATATATTAAAAACACAAATTTTCTAAGACTACAGCACAAAAATATGGCAAAACACACACACACACACACACACACACACGGTATATGCCAATATATATCACACAGCCATATGCCTTCGGCCAACTGTGGTCTTGTTGCTGCATAAGCATATTAAAATACAAACTCATACAAGTATGTATTGAAGCACACACATTCTTGAGGCACAAACACACACACAATTACATGTGATATGATATGAAATGAAACAAAATTTATTTTAAAGGGATCATATGATGCGATTTAAATTTTTCCTTTCTCTTTGGAGTGTTACGAGCTCTTGGTGCATAAAGAAGATCTGTAAAGTTGCAAAGTCTCAAATCCAAAGAGATATTCTTTATAAAAGTTAAGAGTCAACCACGCATACCTAAAACGGCTCCGCTC